AGATATTAACAGGGTGAAAATTTGTTTTTTACTCCGTGATTTTTCTACCCACTTCTGTGCTCTGGTATGAATACGGAAGGTTTACAAAACTTACAGTAATTTTTTGTGCGCTTGTATACCATGCCGACTACTTTTTAGTTCAAATAAAAATATTTTTGTATTTTGTTTCTACTGAGGTAAAAAATGCCAAACATCGTCTCTTTGACAATTCGCTGGCATGCTCAGAGCTTTGTATTTCATGAGGTAATATATTTGTCGCTTACCAAACACTATGCCGGTGTAGTCCTAGGGCTATCGACGGGTATAAGTTTAGTTTAGTTAATTTTCACAGAATATTTTTATGAAGTCTGAAATATCGTCAAAAATGATATTTACCGATAATTTGAACACGCTTTATCGAGAATTTTTTTTTTATTTCGTTCAACTCTTTTATTATTGCCACCGATCCTATTAATTTTCAATTAACTCAATGCAATTTTCCGTCCTTTTTTTTTTTTTTTTTTTTTTTTGTATCTCTTCTAGAAATGACCGCAATCGCACCCACGCTCTCGAAACGGCCAAACTCAGTATCCGCAGGTCGACTTCGCTGTAAAGATTATAATGCTTATTTTTTCTGTAAAAATGCAGCGGGTACATTTATTTTGATCGAGAACACTCGTGCTTGGCTACATACTATATTTTCTTTAAAACTTGGGTTTGGGCCTAGTTGGTTCATTACTGAATAAAAGGTTAAAAAGCGCGAACAAACGAGGACAGAAAAGAAACACGGACGACAGGCGCTTCACTCTCAACTGGTTTTTATTAACACCATTGTCACCTATATATACACATTGCCCAAACCACATCGGATTCAATCGCCACAATCAGAGCCAACCTTCCAGAAACACCATCTCACACTGAAGCAAATACACAGACGGAGCGCTAGAATGCCTCTATAACTTCTCTTTGCGTTTTTTCCTTTGCCTTTCTTAAAAACTTGGTGCCAGACAGGTCAGGTTTATGTGTGTGCAACAACGCGGGGGGCCATCTCGCCGACCATTGTAGGCGATGTGAGTGTAACTTGACCTGACCTGACTGGCATAAAGTTTTTAAGAAAGGCAAAGGAAAAAACGCAAAGAGAGATTAAAGAGGCATTCTACATAAAAAAAGAAAGAAAACAATTGTGTCAGCGCTCCGTCTGAGTTTCAAAGTGCTTCAAAGTGAGATGGTGTTTCTAGAAGGTTGGCTCTGATTGTGGCGATTGAATCCGATGTGGTTTGGGCAATGTGTATATATAGGTGACAATGGTGTTAATAAAAACCAGTTGAGAGTAAAGCGCCTGTTGTCCGTGTTATTTATTTTATTTTATTTATTTAGAGGATACTACAGGCCATTGAAGGCCCAAGTAGGTGTGGGATACAACATATGCATTCACACATACAACGAAAACAAATAACACGACATTAAGAGGATTACAACTAACTAGCAAATATACAGGATATATTATTTAAAAAAGGGGAGGGGGGGGGAAGCAAGCATCAAGCAGTATGTAATTCCATCATGCACTAATACAAAATGACCTATCCAGAAGTAGTATGAAGGTTTATACAATCCTAATGTCCATGCGAAAAAGATGAAGGTGCAGCAATGTACAAAGCAAAACATGCTAGTTATCAAGACGCTCGAGACCTTCTACAAAGGTGGCGTCGATAAATACTTCGAGAGGTAAACCGTTTCAGTCGCTAATAGCGCGAGGGAAAAAGCAAAACTTAAACATATTAGTACGCGCAAAAATGATTTCTTTATTGTCCTTGTTTGTTCGCGCTTTTTAACCTTTTATTCAGTATATTTTCTTAATTTTGTAATGATGGCAACTGATATTCCTTAGTCCGTCCGTTAGCGGTGCAACGGATGTTCCATTGTCCAGTGTGTAATGGCAGGGCACAAAGGCGGAGAAAACAAAACCAGGTTTTTATGTAGCCAGACCGGAGTCATATATCTGTTTGTGCTAAACACAGCTTGTAAGGCACGTGCAGCACGCCTGGCCCCTCACGTTATATACCTTCTCATTTTAGTTGTTGCCTCACCGGCGAATAGAGGGTGCTCACGCATTCAGCGCCATTAGGTTGCTTGAATTTGGTTGGTTTCGGTTTCAATGTGCGCGTGGCTACGATGCTGTTTTACGTGGTTTTTGCTTAATTGTGCGATACAAATTCAAGTAGCACATGTTCACTTTTTCGTAGTTCCTGGGATAGGCCTCCGGAATATGAGCAGTTACCTGGATGTCTCCGTGAGGGGTGACAGCGACAAGCTTGTTTGCTGAGTCCAGCGGTGCGACATTTACGGAGAGGTTGCCTTCTTTGTTCATCAATTTTATTTCAAGTTTGAATCTTTACCAAAACTTATTATCGCCAACAAGAACTGCTATTCAGCGGGCCAGTATGCCAGATCTCCTTTTTACGAATCAAAAAGCTCTTATGTCTTCTGTAACGGCTCTCCCAGGAATCAGTGTCTACGACGTTGTTATTGGTAAATTGAAATGCCCTCAAGCTAAAACTTCTAAATGTGTTCCCAGAAGGGCTTACTTCTGTGACCAGGGTGCTTACTCTAGCCTGACGGAAGAGCTCTGTTCCTTTCTTTTGGAGCTTGAGGAACTCAGTTCATCTTTAAATATAACGCCGCGTTGGAATACGTTCTTATATAAATTAAAGCTTTTAATTGATATCTACGTACCATCAAAAATGCTATGGTCAAGGCAGCGCAAATTTAGGCCCCGGTCATTGGGCGTCAAACGCTTTCTGTGGATTGGGCGTCAAAATCTTTCTGCTACTCACAGAGGAGGTTGGCCTTCCATTTGTGGTCGGCGGGCTGTCGCTGAGCAGAACTGCTGATGGTAGATGGTGTCCTTTCGAGATGAAAATTCAATTAACTGGCCTAAAGCGTTCGGTTCTAGAAGGAGCGAAAAATCAAGCTTCTTGCTCTGAACACTTCTTCTTCCTTTCTTTTTTGTGAGGGCGGAGGTTGATCGGAAAGTCTCGTGAGTGTCGCTAGTCCTCATCAGTAAAAATATGTCGCTGCACCCGATGCCGTCTGTATCATGGAGCCGGTCTTTTTTTTTTTCATGTTGCAGAGTCTGCTATGTTTGAATATAAGATTATTTAGCCATAAATTTATACTATTAGCCGCTTAACATCCGCGGCCCTCAACGAGAAAGTTGAAGCGGGTGAACTACACTACCAAGAAAAGCATCTAATAAAACGCACGCTACTGCGTTGCTCGGTTTCTCTTGTTTGTTCCGCTCGAGGCAGATATATTAGAATAATTTGTTTCACTTGTCCTGTCAACGAACAGTTTCCGTATCGTAACGAGAAAAGGCACTCTCTCCTCATCGCAACGTTGTTCCGATTCCCGAAACATTTACCCACATCCTGGCACAGTAAAGGGCAGCACTGACTTCAGTGGAACTCAATAGCACGGTAATTTTCAATACAGCACTAACTTCTCTTCGTGCTAAATATTTATATTACTGCAAAAGCTAAAAGTTTCAAAACTAAATACATAGAGCGTGCGATTTCACAGCCCGCAGTACCAGTATTATGTTATCCGTGTTGGAATTCATTGTCCTGTTGAATTCCCACGCTGGTGAACCAATACATATCTCTTTTAAAAGAAACACATATTAAACATAAATAGTGCAGTTCACCTGGAGCAGACGACGCATCCACACAAGCGATCGTTTAAATGTAGGCCGTACGCTGGTAACACGATTCGATCTTCAATGAAGCACCGAACAGTGCCGAACCATTTTCCGCTCAAATTGTTTCCTTACCGATACTATGCGACAAGTGAAAAACATTCCAACTGAATATCGTTGCACCGCTCCCTTAAAGCCCCTTCATGTTTTAAAAGCAGATCAAGGTGCGTCAATGCGCGAGGCACGTACAACGTGCATCCCTTAAGAAGACCATGGTGGCACAGCGCAGCATTGAGCTTGATTGCAGACGCCGTGTTCTTCCCAGAAGTGACGCACGGCACGTGTCTCGAGCATTTCCACCACAATGATTGGCGCCACTTTTCCCAGGATACAGGGGCTTTATCTAATCTGCGCACTTGGCAAAAGAGTTGGTGAGGAACCCAGCGGCCGTGGTTGGTCGGCGCCGCGCTTGAGGTTGGCGCGATCCGATTACGGCTGCCGAATCCCTCACCGCGGACACTTTTCGCCAAGTGTCCAGATTAGTGGCCCTGGTCTTGCTCTGCCCCGCCGCTGCATAAGCTCCTTCATAGAAAACCCACTTGCTCCTGGGAAGGGAGTGTCAAGGCCACGGTCCCCTTATGGTCGCCATTTTGGTCCATGGAATGAGACTCTTCTCCTTGACCTCTCCACTGACCTGGTCCGAACTCGCGGTGACAGGCCGCTTTATAAAGACATTTCTTTTACACCAAGATTCTGTTATCCACACACCGGCGAAACAAGCGCACATATGGTCTCACCGCCACCAGCGGCGTCGGTGCTTGGCGATATTTAAAAATAATGTTTCCGTCTTTAAATAGACCAAAAGAAGAATATCATTATGAGAGATATGTGGAGATCATCCCGACTGATAAGTTCGTGGCCTACGCAGTGTCAAAGTCCCTTTTGTTGGCAAGGAACGCTTTCAGTACGATGTCGCTCCAAGGCGATCTTGGCACGACTGGTTCAGAACGACCCTTTGGAAGATTTGTAAGGACAAGATAGAGGATTGCCATGGCAACAAAGACCGATCAGCCTTGTAAGATCTTGGGCGTCTGTAGGTTAGCATCGATTTGTGTCCGGCTAGCACGAAGGGAAGGCATTGGTTAAATGTACGTCATTGTACGTAATTGTACGTTATTGTACGTAAGCGCATTGTACTTCGCGTTTTTTCTTCTTCCTTTTTTTTCGAAACTTAAGAGAGTCGACCAATAAACCAGGACAGCCAACGAAGAAAAAGAAAAAAGATGGGAGACGATTGAAAATAGAAAGTTTGATGGACCACGCCGACATGTCCTTGATGCGTTGCCGTGGCAGGTTTGGGGGTTTACAGTTGAATGTAGAAAACATGGTTGCATTCGCTCTTTTTAACATCTCTGAACGACCCACTGCGAACTTTAAAGAAGGATGGTAGTACTATATCTAACTAACTTGTGACTCCATGCCACGTCCTCCCCTCGCAGCCTTGGCAGTGGCAGCTGGGCGTGGTGTCCGTGTTCCTCAGCTGGGTGCTCCTGGTCATCTACATTCGCAAGCTTCCCTTCCTGGGCATCTACGTGGTCATGTTCACCAGCGTGCTGAGCACCTTCAGCCAGTTCTTCATGGTCTTCTTCCTGTTCATCGTCGCCTTCGCCCTGGCCTTCCTGGCCGTCTTCCAGAACCAGGTATAGCGGGCTTCGAGGCATTTGCTTCTCCCTGACACCTTAAAGGAACACTGACACCCTTAAAAATTTTTTACTTTTTTTTTTGCCAGGCGATTTATTATGGTTGTCGGAATACTAACCAATTAATATTTTGCAACAGAGTCACGTATGTTTTTAATAAAGTCAAAAGACGCAACTGCTCGAAACCGAAACCGAAACCCCCGCACCGCACGGAGAAATGGAGAGGAGAGAGTGAGTGGCGGAAGTCACGTGGCTACACTCGACCGTACACTCTAGAAAATGTCTGTGCGTCTACTTTCACGCACACCACTCGAGAGCCAATCACCGCAGCTTACGGAGGCAGCTGAGCGAATGACGATGCCGAAGCATATGTTTAGACCAGAAAACGCAGTCTGAGTTGCGACATAAGCAATGCAAGCGTGACGTTTTGCATTGCTTAATGTGAAAACTCAGACTGCGTTTTTGGTCTAAACATAATGTATTCGCATCGTTATTCGCTGAGCTGTCTCCCTAAGTTGTGGTAATTGGCTCTCTGAGTGTTTTGCGTGAAAGTGGACTCACAGACATTTTTTAGAGTGTATGATTTTTTTTTTTTTTCTTTTGCGCGCAGCAGACAAAACGCGTTGCGGGATCCCTTCGCCGTGCGATTCCTTTGCAGTTATGTTTGCTCCGCTCGCTGTTCTATACTTCAAGATGAGTTTTATTTGTACATTTAAGTGTTGGCAATTAGTAGTGAGTGCCCGTGGTGAATTCCCGTGATCGACTCCGAAAAGAATACTGCCAAGATTTTGCGTGAAGAGCGGCCTCACATGTCCTGCATCTGAAAGTGGCATTGCGCGGCAGAGGTGTCAAAAATGGAATTCCATACCATTCAGTTCAGCGACGTATCGTCCACAACAATTTTTTTTTCAGTTATAACTGTAAAGAAAAGAAATGTAAACATCGCAAAATGATTGAAAAAAAAAATGGTACGCCCACTATAGGGATCGAACCCGTCCCCGCTGCGTATGAAGCGGACGTCTTTCCACTGAGCTACTCAAGCAACTCTTTCGCACGTAGTAATGCAGCCGGTAGACTGTATTTCGGAAAGTTTGCTGCCTATTTCCCTCCAGTACATGCACTCCCGGCTTGAAGTCGGGCAGCACCACGCATTGGCCACATTGGCATCAACTTCCAAGTAAAGAAACCGAACGCGTGCGTATTCAACTCGATGTACGCACTTCGTGCTTGACGTATGAGCGAGCGATGTCTTCAGCCACGAGAAGAGACGACGGCTCGGCGACGTCTTCGTGCAATCGGCTTGCTGGTCGGGCGTGTCGTACGGCATGAATATAAGTTCTTTTGAACGGTCCAAAATTTCTCTTTCGAAGGAAGGCAGAATTCGTCGGTACCGTGAACGACAGTTCTGAAGTAGAGGTCCCACGCCCGTCGTCCGTTGTCATCTGCGAGTCCCACGAGACGCGAAACGACGCCATGTTGAGAATTATGCGGTGAATGCACAGAACGCTGCCGGTTGTCTGTGCAACCTTTTTTTTTTTTTTTCAATCAACGTATTTGCAGTTTTTTGGAAGCCACAAAAAATGGGTTTCATATTTTTTTTCTATTCTTAGCACTGACTGCGTGCCTTCAATGACCCACGACTTTGATTAAATTTGGTGGTCGCGTCGAAACCTTCGAAAACGGCCCGGGACCACGGAGAAGAGCGTGAGCGCGACTCAAACCGGCCAGTTCTCGATCGGCAGTTTTAGGGCGGTAAGAAACCGAATCTCGAGCCGCAAATTCTGTTCTTGGTAGTACAACTAAAAACCTCGGCGAGCATAAATACCCTGTCAGTGTCCCTTTAAGAAACGCACGGCCTTGCTTATTATTCTTCGTTCATAATTCGTTTTTCTCGCCGTCTAATACCGCAACCGTATTGACTGCGGACCGATATGCTCGTAGCTCGCCTTGCCTTGCATTTCTTAAGTTGTCAGTGAGTACGATGGGCGCGTTCCGTTACGCTGCAAACTGGCCTCTGAGCTTCAAAGAGAACGGTACTGATAGGCGGAAAAGGTAAATCGAGCAGACGCAATAAGCATGGCGACTTTTCAAACGGTGTATATTGTGGAAAGTATCATAGCTGTGCCATGAGAGCAGCTCACATTCACTAGCGTCAGCGTTAACCCAAGCCAAAACGTCGACAATATTTTAGTTTGTGTGCACGTTCGAGTTAAGAAATTCTGCAGATATTTTCTTGGGCCGTTCCAGACACGCGTTTATGAGCAGTGCAAGGCGGCTGTCACACTGCTCATCATACATCATGCAAAAGCAGACATGATGACAGAATTATCTTCGGACACGGATCGAGCGCATTCGAAGCTCGTCTGCTACAGCTCGAGCGCATTCGAAGCACCTTTGCTTTGTACTTCGTACACGTTTGCTTTGAACATGTATAAACACAGTTTTTTGTATCACAAGTGTGACAGATACGTCATACCAGAAAGAAACTAGCCTCAGGCAGCGCCTGCAAACTGTCTTTTGTATGATGTAGTAGCACCGTGGCCGTGGCTTAAAGAGAAGAGTCAAACAGTCACTTGTTCCTTGCATTTCCCAGTGACCCTCGTTACAAAACCAAGAGTTAAAATGCATTACTCATTTCTTTTATCACATAATAGAGTGTGTCAATGAAGACACTAACGAATTACACCTAATCGCGTTACTTGTTGCAACGCGTCACGTACGAGTCTGGAGAACAGGGACGTTCCGGGTGAATTGCGCAGCCGGCGTTCGACAACCCCTGGAAGGCCATCATGAAGACGACGGTGATGATGGTGGGCGAGATGGAGTACGACAGCCTGTTCAATGAAAACGTGCTCCCGTACGAGACGGCCTCGTACATCCTGATGGCGCTCTTCCTCGTGCTCATGACGATCATCACGTCCAACCTGCTGGTCGGCCTCGCCGTCGACGACATCAAGGTGGTCCTCGAACAAGCGGAGCTCAAGAGGCTCGGCATGCAGGTGTGTGAGCAACAGTGCTGCGTCCGATCCAAAGGAGGTCTGTTTCAGAGCGGCGAATTCTGACATGGCTGGGTGTAGGACACGATGGTCCCGGACAAAATGGCCTCAGACAAAACGCCCCCGGGCAATAAGTTCCCGGTCAAAATGGTCGCGGACAAAATTATCTCAAGCGCAAACCCGAACAAAATGATCCCAGGTGATTTGTTGACACCTTGGGCGCTCTTTGATAGTTTTAGTGAACTGCCCCTCTGAGGCTCACTCGGCTCTATGGCTTCTATTTCTATAAGTCAGAGCACCGTGCAAATCTGGAGCCCGGAAGTCAATACACAAACACGCACGCGTACATTAAAAGAGCAAATTCGCGATGCACTCTCTGCGCTTGATTAGGCTATCCGGTGATAATAACAGAAAAATCGACAAACGTCTTAAGTACTTTTTTTTAATTTTGGCACTGCTCGATTGGTTTATGTTATGCACTGTTCGGCACTGCTTGTTTGGTTATGGCGTGTTATGGAACAGCCTTTTTTTCTTTCTCGTGCTAAATATGTTAAATATTATCGATACATTACTCGATATATGTACTTGTATATTATTTATATATTATAATTTTCTCTTCTCATTGGCTCAGCTACTGCCCTGCAATGTCCTTTAAGTTTGATATAATAACTTTAAAATGGTTAGTATTTTATAACATAAGTATTCAGCAACAGATTTTATTTGTTCTATATCCGATGGACCTATCTCACCGGGAGTTGCGCGACGCTACCGCTGCCGTGGTGCATTCTGGTACCTGTAGTCCTCCCCAGATTTCCGGCCGAGTCAATGCGCATTGTACGCTTCTTGGAAATTTTCTGGTAAGCACGAGACGTTTCATCGGGTGTTTACTCGCGGTTTTTAATGGGTGGCTTCGCCTGGGTTCTGTACCCGGGTGCTCTAATAATCGCACCAGGCAAAAAGGCATTGAAATTTGTCATTCCGAAAGAAAGCAGCCCCAGGAAAAGAATTTCTAAAGGTAAACAGAGCCGGACAGCGCGGCAGGAAGAAGAGCGTTTCTCGATTTGGTTTGCGATTTGCTTCATAATTTATATCCACCAGATTGCACGTTAGCTAAAGAGCGTAAGATTACAAGGCACGGGACTTAGTAGGGCGTGCCGAAGTGTTCCAAATACGTTGGACTATTTCCATGGGCGATCGCTCCGTAGTGCTTTATCCGCTGGTTTATCTCAATCGGGACCTCCGCACCACTTTGGGGCGTCCGTGTGGTGGTTATAACGGCTATTGCGACGGCAAGTTTGGAGAACAGCTGTGTTTTAAAATATGAGAGCAATCACTAAAAAAAGAGCAGCGATTCTCGATATGCAGCAGACCAAATGTAACTGCTTTATCAAAAGCAGCTTTCATTTGTTTCAAACAAAACGTGAAAACACAACATAATGCAATTTATAAGCGCGACACTTACCACCAAAAAGTATGGTGAGCTAAAATTCCCCCAAAAAGTAGCAAACGAGCCCCACCCACCTTGTTGTGGTCTATAGGAGGTATTCACTGGACGCCATATTTGAGGGCGATGTTTAGAGCGCATGCTCAGAACGAGCTCACATTAATAGCCTGCTAAGACCGGCAACCTCGATGGTGCTAAACGCACGCTCCAAGAGGACTGCGGAAGCTCGCCGTCAGAACGCGCTCAGCAGCAGCGCGTGCACATGGATATGGCCGCCAGTGAATACTGCCTATTAGGCTAGCGCTATTGATGCATTCTGCATTAACACCAATCGAGATCGCAGAAAAAAAGCTTCCCCCTTCGGGTGACTGTTAGCGCTCGGAGCTCGCGCCAAGAAAATAAAACTGAATGTAAATTGTACACGAAAACTCTTCTCCACCCAAAGTTTTCGGGTATATGGCCTGGTTGCTTCTTTTTGACAGACGCGAGCTCATCCATGGTCTTTCTGGAGATCATTTCTTCTTTGTGTGCAGACATGCCGCCGCAGTTCTTCTGTATACCCTGTCGCGCAGGCTTTCAACCAGACTGAAACGACGTTTTGAAAATTATAGCTCCCATAGAAAGCCAATTTTTACTTCTTTGTAGATTAAACGTTATGCAAAAGCTTGAGCACTACGAAGCTCAGTTTTTGACCGACACATTTGATGCTGTTCCGCGGTGCCACACCGAGCCGATGGTCCCTCGAATCTTCGTAATTTTTTACCATTGAACTAGACGCTCACTTGTTTCCAAGTTCATCGAGACACCCGAGCAGCCGGAGTTCTCGAGTACATTGTTTATCCTGTGGTCGCATAGGTACCACCGCGTGGACACAGTGGGTTCGTTCACGAAGACGAAGAAGCAGACGACCACGAAGCAGACGACCAAACTACACTGTAACCGAACGATTCTAAGGCGATAAAGGTCCATGGGACGAATATGCTGAGAATAATCGACGAATTTTTCCCGGCAGCTTTTGCTCTGCGCTTGGAATCACCACAGTGGCTGCTACGTCGCGCGCAAAGCGAGCTTGCCGTCGGGTGGCGTTCGCCAGTTATTCATCACATAATTCGTTCCATGGAGTTCGGCCTTAAGACAACTGGCTGATTTTCTGCGCTTGCTGACAAACTAAAGCATCACAAACAAAACAATCGTATGAAGTGCAGACATGCAGGAGAATTTAAGCTGATATCCCGGCGTCCCAAACGATGATGTATGACTATGTTCGCACACCGCAGCCCTATGGAGCCGGGAAGCCAGAAAGCGATGACTAGCGCTGCGTTCGGAATCTTACCCAAATGAACCCGAGTTACTCCGGTGGGTCATGTCACGCGACAACACAAGATAAAAAAAAACGCTGGACGCGGGCTGGCTTTAGAACGCCAATGTACATAACCCTTACCCTGGAGTAAGATCGAGTAACTTTGGAACGCGGCCTACAAGTAGCATGGCGACTGTACCAGTTCAGGAATGCGCGCGTTTGCGCAGCTTGCTTGGTGACATCGGTCTGTTTGCGTCAGGCACGAAAAATTGACTGGATCCTCAAAGAGCAAGCTAACTATTCCTAAAATCTAGCCTGGGATCGTTTTGTCTAAAGCCACCTTGACCGGAACTATTTTTCAGGAGGCCATTTTGTCCGGACCCATTTAGTCCGGAACGATTTTGTCCAAGACCATTTGTCCGGGACCATATTTTCCGGGACCATTTTGTCCGTATTCCGACATGCGCTCTGTCTTTGTGAATCTACTCATCCCTCGTCCATCTTCACGCTGTTTTCAATTTTCACAAATTCTGACATGGCTAGATATTTATCGAAATGAGCAAGAGCTCAGCTGTCAGGATTGACTTTCTTCAACGCGAAATCCGCCGGCCGTGAATCGTCTTCTTAGTTCCCTCTCATTCCTTTCTCTTTTCTTCACTCACGCGCTATGAAGGATTGGGACTCGAAATATATGAAAAAAAAGTATAAATTTAAACTTGCGTGAATGGCAGGGACTAAGTCGTCACATTATTTCACGTTACCCTTCTAGTTCCGCTTGCACGGCGTGTGTTTTTTACAATTGTATTACAAACAGACGAATCTGTAAATAATAAGAAAGGGTGATTTTTCGGTAATAAAACGGAAAATATTTTTATCTAATTGCCAGTTTCTTCCCATCTCTGCTCCATTTATTTGAAAGGAAACGCGCAAGCACTTTTTGCACACCTCCTTCTGCAAGGAGATTAAAAAGCAAACCACATATAGTGTATGGAATGTCATTTACTTTGATGAGACAATGACTGATGGTGTCTTTTGCGCATGTCAGCTAAAAAACACTGTCATCTGGTGAGTTACGAGAAATTCTTCGTGGTTTTTCTGCTACCTAGGCGTGGTGTCGCGATATGCGTAAGTAAACGAGAAAGATAAACTGCAATGAGCGTTCTTGTGGCCCTCAGGTGAAACTGGTGCTGACGGTGGAGACGATGCTGCCCACGTGGGCGCGTCGACAAGTGGTGGTCCAGAAGAGGACCGTCAGACCCAACAGGAAGTCTAGGATTGCCACCCTCATGCGACGCCTGTTCGGAATAAACATTCACACTTTCCAGCCGGGCTCCAGAGAAGAGAAGGTACGTTGAGCGCTTTCAAAGACCGAGTGCTTGAAACCACGGCTTTGTCTTCTTTAATTCATTTTAAAGCAATAGCTTTACGCTTGACACTCGGCAGGCATTTTGGTGTCGGCGTTTATAGTTGTCTGTCGTCGCAGTGGAGATGGAAAACCCCTTCTCTCCCCTCATGGCGTGAGGAGAGAGAAGTCGGGTGCTCCCATTAGCCGCGCCACGCGAAGAGGAAAGAGAGGAGATTTCCGTGATGAGTCGCCAATAACGGCGCACCCTCGAGGAAGCGTCAGCGGAGCGTTTTCCCCTGTCTGCTGACGATAACTTCAAAACAGGTGTTTACAAATATTACTCCCGCTATACGCAATCCCACTTTGGCATATCCAATTGCTACGCGCTTTAGAAACTTCCTACGCGTTCAATTTCACTCTAACATCTCTACTTCTCGAACCCAACTCGAAACGTAAAATGCGTTTTGCCAAAAACTTGTCGTCTTGCCCCCACCTTCCCAGCAGAGCTTCGTCTCGTTTATTTGCATGCGTCCCCCCACCCTGCTCATCGCCTGAACGTTGAACATTTCCGTTTCCTTCAGAAGCACCAGGAAACCAGCGCCGTCGCTCACGTCGTCACTGCCGCAGACTGTTCATCGTGGCGCCGCCACCCCAAAGCCGTACTCCGTCCCAGGAGAGAGCGCGGAGGGAACGGGTGGCTTCCGCGGCTCGTGACCGACGTCGCGCCCGTACTTCCTCAGTTCAAGTAGAGCGTAGTAGAAATAGAGGCAGCGCGTGGTGTGAACGGGCGCTTCTGTAGCTTATACGGTAGCTTAAAGGGGCACTGACACCCCAAAGGTCATATCTTTGCTGTTGTCTAAAACGGCGCAAGTTTTTTTTTTGTTTTCTTTTGCGTTTTTATCTTCTTCTTCTGACCCCCTTTTTATTTCTGACGTCAAAGGTCATGAAGTGTAAAAGCTTTGTAATCGACATTTCTATGTTTAGTAACGACATTCGTAAAACATGTTTGTTAACACAATTACGAACGCACTATGTCTTTTCATTTTGAAATACCGAAAATCGGAGTCCAGAGTGATGTCCACCTCCTGGCCTTTTATCTTCCGTCGGAAAACATGGCGGCGCTGGCGGCGCTCGGCACATACAGCATTGAGAATGACCCGTAAGTCGAGGAATCGATCGAAGTTCTTTTGTTTAGGTGCCAGACGACCTCTTAGCCTTCGAAAAGGAAATCTTCAAACGGTCAAAATAACTGGGTTTGGTGTCTGTGTACCGTGGTTTCGGTCGTGGCTCCGCCGGGGCAGCCTTTCAAGCGGAACCGGCACGACGTGGCCACTCACGTCGCTGACAAAAGCCCCCTGCGCGTTCTCTTCGACCTCACACCGTTTCAAAGAATTCCAGATCGCTGAAAGGGCCCTAAAAGTACTTCAAACTCGAAAGTGAAGCGTCGTCTGCTCGCAGCGATAGGCGGCAGGCACGGGGAATAGACTTTGAACGCGGGACGCGGGCGAATACGACACTTTGGGTCGGGATGATTTGAAGGCGTGTAAGAAACTCGAGTTGCAGGACGACTCAATCTTTTACGTCACTGCACTGGCGCGGATTGCGCGGGAACTTCAAATACGGATTTGGGAAATAGTTTTTGTTGCTTCACAAATACTCAGTTCCCAAGCTCCGAATTTCGAGGGTAATGTCCAGGCATCGTTTTCAATCGTTTCGGATAATAATAATAATAAATAAATGATTTTGACCTCTCAGTGCCCTTTTTGAAGATCAGCGTAAAGCCACAAACAAAAGAACTCTTACCGCTGCATATTTTATGTTCCATTCCCTACGTAAAAAGAACATGATCCTATAAACGCCTTTGGAAAGCAATGTTTTTTTTTTCTTTATGACGGCTTACCAGAGAACTTGAGGAACGAAAACCTACCGTCACATTAGTGGTAAGGGATTTTACGTACACGTCAACGTCGGTTCCACTGCTCTTTGTGTTTTCTTTTTTTATTATTATTTCCTTTTTTTGTGGAGCGCAATTGCTTTTTATAAGAATCAGAGCCGACAGGCTCGAAACTGACTCAATCGCTCTTATGTCGGACAGTCACAATAAAATTGAACTGTCGAGAAAGCTCGTTCGCGTCAGCCTTGGCAACGCTTCTTATTTAGGTCGTCTTAAATAAGGCCGACCAATTTCGTTTTCGACAGACCGAGTCTCGACTCGAACCCTGAGACTCCCCGCCCTTAGTATGCGCATCTCCAACCTCGTGTCTGCTGCAGACTCGCGCCAGTTCTGGCTGCACACTACACTCGGGAACAACTTCTGTTGGCATTTCCGGGGAGAGGAGGAGAAAGCGCTCGCAGCTTTCATCGGCGCTCAAAAGGGAAGAGGGGACGCATACACGCACCTTTCACTGCATTGCCGAGAAAAGTTGTCACGGAGTGTAGATTCTTTTCGAAAGCCAATCGAGCAACATTGGCTGTCGCCATTTCTCGGGCACGAAGCGTGCCACTGGATCCGAGTCCTTGCCGAAGACTGACGTAGTACTCGTTCCCGATGCGAGCCAAACCGAACCTATGCGGAGCGCAAGTTCGTCTGGTTCTTGCGCAGGGTCGAGATGACGTCACAACGCCGAGCTCTGATTGGCTGCGACGGAGGTATGGTGGGTAGATCTAAATGTTAGCTGTCTTGAGGTTACCCACTGTCCTTCCAATCGCAGCCAATCAGAGCTCGGCGTCGTTCTGACGTCACCGCAAGCCCTGCTCAAGAAGCAGACGAACTTGCGCTCCGCACATGTCGAACGCTGATGCACCTTCGTGGCCATTGTATACATCGTATTATATAATACTGTATGTTCCCTATCAAGCTCGGACTCGGACAGTTTGTGCGGTAGATGGCAGGCGCTTTTGAAAAGGGTCTCTCGGATAAAGTGGTTTGCTCCTTTCTTTCACGTCGTTTGCGCTGGTTGGCGTCGCCCGCATCGGAGATAGCGAATATATGTAGTCACGCTAACAGGATGAAAGTGCAAGATGAGCCTCTCAAGGTCCGTTTCGCCCTTCGATGTTCACAGTACACGGTCGAGAAGGTTTACGAGCACCAGGAGGGGATGGAGCGCCTACTGCGGCACCTCGAAGAGCGGATGGACATCCTGGCCCAGCAGGGACACCGGCTCGAGAAGGCGCTCAACGCGCTCGGGCAACGTGCCCGGGGCAGCAGCGAACGCGGCTCGACGGGGTCCTCGTCCCCCGGCGACGTCTGACGCCCGGACTCTCTGTGCATCCGCTGTCCGACTAAGCTGCCGGGTGTAATAGACATTCTACACCGCGGTCTCACCGCTAAGACGTCATACAAAAGACAGTCTGGAGGCACCGTCCTGGGCGTGTTTGTTCCTCGTATGGCGGTCCTAGTCACATTGGTCGTACGAAAACTCTCTGCAAGCATCTCGAAGCCTACAAATATACGAAGCAAACGCGCTTTGAACAAGCTCCACGTGTGTCCGCAGAATTTTCTGTCATGGTGTCTGCAGCAAACAGAGTGTCTTTTTTACGATGTATACAAGCCATGTAAGTCTGCCTTTACGAAACCCCATCAGGCATCATCGACGGACGCCACAATTTGAGCGTCGCTTCCAGAGCACAGCGTGCGATTGAGGCAGCACTCGTTGACGATATATGCTCGGGATATGTGCTCAAAAAGCGATGGACTCCCAGAAGCTACTATACAGCGTTACTCGATCAACTCAGTTGGCAAACTCCCACGGAGAGCGTGATCCCTTCAAAGACACGCGCTGACACACGTCAGTTTCCGCTGATAATCCCAGATTCGGAAATGCTGTTTGAAGCGTCATCCTTCCTGCCCGCTGCGGCCGTGTTTTGAACTGCTGTTGCAAGACACGCCGCGGCGAGCAAGAAGGTTGGCGCTTCGAGTAGTGTTAGCCCGGCTGAGGGGGTACGAGGTGGGATCACGCTCTCCGAGGGAGTTTGCCAACTGAGTTGATCGTGATCGAGTAACGTTGGCTACCATGGGCGTACCAACCGGGTGGGCAAGGGGGGCGCTCGCCCCCTCCCCTCAGTTCTCAGAGTGGGGGAGGGGGGGGGGGGCAAAACATGTGTTTTGCCGCCCCCCCCCCCCCCCTGAAACAGCCGCCGCTGGGCAGCGCAAACACTGGCCGGCGGCGCCCAAGGGTTACCTAGGGCCAGGGGGGGGGGGGGCCCAGTTTGCCCCCCCCCCCCCCGCTCAAAAACAAGTTGGTACGCCACTGTTGGCTACTATACACTTCGTTTCATCCGTATACGTTGGAGCGTAGTCAATGGCTAAAGGGCACACAAACACATACGCGCAGACTGAAGCTCCAAGGTCACTGCGCACCCTTTCTGTCCATTGGATGAGTCGGCGATGACACACGGAAGGAAAGAAAGAACGCCATGAGGTTGTGGTTTTGGCGCTGCCTGATCGGTCCCGTCGGCACGTTGCGTTGGCTACGCTCCGACGTAAGGTACGACAAGTTAAAGATGGCAGGCAACTTTTGAAGAGGGTGGGTATTTTCTGCCACGCGTAGGCGAGCGGCTCGGTGTAAGTCTTGAGACCGCACAATCTACTAACAATTAGCGAGTCAAGACGAAGGATATCCTATAATGGAACCTGCCTGCATTCCCTGAAAACAGCGAGAGTGCAGAACTTTACGCGTGTTCTGCATCACCCTCTGCTTCCTTTCTAGTGTTGACAAAAAATTATCGTGAACGGTCACAGTTTGCACATCAGGGTATTATAGGCTTCGAGCTGAAGAGTTTGATGTGAAGCTGCGGTATACTACTAAAGAGCCAACATGATTCCAGAACGTTGCCTTACTTTTATTTCAATGCATATCAGGCGCTTGTCGTCGCCAGACATCATTCTTTATGCGGGTAAAAGCTGAGGGAGAGGAGCAGATGAGAGTGCGTGGGAACGCAAAGCTAGCTCTGTTTGTCTCTACTTGGTGTTCGAACGCGTCCAAACGTGAACGCTGGACGCGGGCAAACGAATGCGTTTGAACAGTGAGCAAAGGCAGATAGCTTCGCATCTACCCACTAATCCTTCCAACCAGAGCACGGCGCTCTGCTGCCCCCAAGCGTTCTCGCCATTTCTTCTCCCTCAGTTTGTGCCCGCTAACCTTGAATGACGCGCCGTCTTAAAAACTGAAGATGCTAGCATGATAGGTAGATACTGGGATACATAATCACGATGAACATGTATATAGGGATATGTATGTTTTATACACAAGCAGCGTGATTTACACTAGAACATACGAACACTCTAGTCGACTATAGGTCAGCAGCTTAGACGTCGCTTTTCATTTTTGCATCGAAGAGAGGCGGATTCTTAAAAAAATTTAATGTCTGTGATAAGCTAAACTCCCTTCAATTCATTCCTTTCTAGCGACTATAGTTCAGAGATTCCAACTTGTTTTATCGAACGAAGTGCAATAAACTGTCTACGGTATTATTACAGGAATATCGTTTGCTCGACTTTCTTTCTTTCTTTCTTTATTAATACTGTTAACTTCTTTCGAGGTTGTTACAGGAGTGGATGAAACATAATATCACACAGTTTGCACTTGCTGCAATAACTTGGAACAAAAATCTAAGAAGTTAGTAGTATTTACGACATCAGGTGGCAAACTATTCCAATCAATAATTGTTCGAGAAAAGAAGGAGTATTTAAATGCGTCATTTTTATAACTATATGGCTTTATTGTTCTGCTGTGAAAATGCCTAGTAGACCTGGGGCAAAAAAATGTAATGTAATTATCTTTGTCGATTCCAAGCTCGTCGTTAACGATAAGGTAGAGGAATTTTAGACAATTTATTTTCCTCCTTTCCCGTAGGGTTTCCAGGCCCGCCTCAGCACAAAGTTTTGTGGGGGCCACATAAGAGGAATACATATTGTACACAAAACGCACCGTTAATCTCTGAATTCTCTCGAGTTCTGAAATACAACATGATGTGTGGGGATCACAGATGACACTAGCATATTCTAATATTGGCCTAACCAGAGTTTTATATAATAATAACTTTGTCTCACGGGAGCCATGCTTCATATACTTGCGAAGAAAACCCAACTTACTCATTGCTCTACTACATATGTTACTAACATGTGTGTTCCACCTTAAGTCAGATGTTATAGTCAAACCCAGATACTTATATGAGCAAACTCTAAGAAGGCTATAGTTACCAATAGAATAATTAAACAGGAAAGGACTTCTCTTACGAGTAATAGACATACAAACAGTCTTTGATAAATTCAACTACATTTGCCAATCGGCACACCATTTAGACAATCTTTCTAGTGAGGAATTTAATACTTCACAGTCTCCGAGGCTTTTGATTTCCTTAAAAACAACACAATCATCTGCAAACAATCTTATCTTGACTGGAATTTCACAAACAATATCATTAACAAATATTAAGAACAATAAAGGCCCGAGAACTGATCCTTGTGGGACACCAGACGTAACGTGTGCAGTACCGGAACACGCGCTATCAAATTGTACAAATTGTTGTCTCATAGTCAAATAACTTTCTAGCCACCTCAAAATATTAGTATTATTTAAGACAACCGCCAATTTTGTTAGTAGTGCATGTGGAACGCGGTCGAACGCTTTTGAAAAGTCCAAGTATACAACGTCAGTTTGCCCTAACTCGTGCACCGTTTCGGTCAGTTGGGTGATGGTAGACACTTTTTGTCGGAAACCATGTTGAGCCTTAGTGAAAAAACTATTTTGCTCCAGATATGCCGATATGTGTTTAAATACAATATGTTCCAAAATTTTACTACAAATACTGAGCAAGGCAATCGGTCGATAATTGGAAATAACCATTGAGTCACCGGATTTTAAGATGGGAATCACTTTTGCCATTTTCCATTTTGAAGGTACAGTGCAAGTTTTAGCGACTTTCTGAATATTACAGTCAAGTACTTAGCGCTCCATTCCGCATACCTTTTCAGGAAAGCATTGGGAATTCCATCCGGCCCAACTACCTTTTTAACGTTAATATTCAAGATATAATTTAAGATACTTTTTTCCGAAATTGTTATATATGGCAAACAGTTCCTAGCGCAATCGCTGTCTTCTCGAATTGCATCAAATACCGGACTGTGACCATTGTCCAAACTGAAAACGGACGTGAAATATTTATTGAAAGCATCAGCAATATAATAGATGTCATCCACGGTTTCATTATCAGTATTCAACTCGTTTATTTTTGGTTTAGAGGGCGATATAAAGCGCCAAAATTTCTCAGGCGAGGACTCGAGAAAGGAGGGCCTTGTTACATTAAAGAACTGATGCTTGGCTTCTTTAATTGTATCCTTAAGCCTGTGGTTTAATTCGTCAACAAGGTTCGCGTCTTTCGATCATTTGCGAAGTCTAAAGAGTCTACGGTGCATTTGAATAATTTCCCTATTTATCCACGGATTTTGTTTTATTGGTAAACTTCACTTTTTTTGGCACAAACTTTGAAATGCAGTCAAGAACAATATTTTCAAAAGCTGCCACAAGAAATTGACATCGATTTCATGTGCATTGGAAGCACTGAGGAAGTCACTAAAGGAGAACGCTAGTTCTCCTTTAGTGACTTACTTAGACACTTACTTCGATAAATAATTTCAGATGTTTAGCGAGGAGCTTTCCGAATCATTATGATGTCTTGAAATAAACCTCGCGTTTCTGCGAGTCCTCCGGAAATATCATAGTCCTAAATTAAGGGAGGGGAGAGGGGGGCGGGGGGGGGGGGGGGGGGGGGGCGACGGGCGGATGAAGCGAGGAATACATGCAGAAAATGGCGTCCTACAGAAGAATACATGCGCAAAATGGCGTCCTACAGCAACCAAACTAATAGCGCCGAGTGCGTCAGCGCCCTCTATCGCCGGTGAGGCAACTACTAAAATGAAAAGGTCAGCCGTGCTGTACGTGCCTGACAAGCTGCATTTAGCACAGATATATGACCCCGGTCTGGCTACATAAAGAACTTGTTCCGTTTTTTCCGCCCTTTGTGCCCTGGCTTTACACACCGGATAATGGAACATCCGCTGCACCTTTAATGATTGGACTAAGGAATGTCAGTTACCATCATTTCAAAATAAAAAAAAAAATATATATAATATGTAGCCAAGCACGGGTGTTCTAAATTAAAATAACATTATCTGCTGCATTTTAGCAGAAAAGTAAGCAATATAATCGTTGCAGCGAAGCTGACTTGCGGAAACTGCGTTTGACCGTTCCGAGAGCGTGGGTGCGATCTCTATTGCTTCTTAAAATGCAAAAAAAAAAAAAAAAGGGCAATTGCATTAGGCCAACAAAATATCGGCAAAAAAGTTTCAACGAAATAAATAAATGGGGTTTTTCGATGTAGCAGGTTCAAAATATCAGTTAATCTCAATTTTGACGATATTTCAGATTTTATATAAAATATTTTGTGAAACTAAAATAAACTAATCTTATGCCCGTCGATAGCCCATGTATAGGACTACACCCGCATAGTGTTTAGTAAGCGACAAATATAATAACTCATGAGATACAAGGCTCTGAATATGCCCCCGGCTTGTCAAAGAGACGATGTTTGGCATTTTTTTACCTAAGTAGAAACAAAATACTAAAATACTTTCCTTTGACCTAAAAAATACTTGGCATGGTATACAAGCACACAAAAAAAAATCCCGTGAGTTCGGTATTCTTTCCGTATTTATGCCAGCGTTCAGAACTGGGTTGAAAAATCACGGAGTAAAAAACAAATTTCCACCCTGCTCCACTTTGAAAAGTGGTTTTGTTCCTAACAGAAATGGGGAAATTACATATATTAAAAAAAATTTTAAAAAATCCACCCCGACAAGCGTGTTTGATTTGAAATGAAACCACACGATAGGTTTCTACTCCCTTTTTTTACATTTTGATTGTGATATTTTTAGTTTTACT